CCTCTCAAGCCTAAGCTGCTCCTCAGTAGCCTCACATGTCTGCCTCTCCATCGTCCGACCCTTGACTGCTTCCTCGATCCTTAGGGTATTATCAAACAAGCAGGGCAAGACAGCCGCCACTTATAGATAGTCAAAAATGAAAGCATAAAAAAAACTCATAACTAAGCCAAGATATGAAAAAGAAAGTCGGATACAAAGCGGGAGTGCAGGATATACCAATGCAAAACCCTCTACGGTGGCATTGACCACACCCTCCGGACCCCGAGAAGCAACCTCTTGGGCTTCGACGATGGACACAAAATCACAAAGTCTCTCCCTTGCCTACCTCATATCCCGTAGCATAGACACTAAAGCATCACTTGAAGGGAAACAACTGGGTGGATCCTCCGTCCCAGTGGGACATGGCGACTAGCCCTCAGTCCCTGCAGCAGTACTAGAATCATCTCGGGAGGGGAGGAAATAACAACCAAAGAGGGAGGAGGAGCATCTCCGAGCCCTGCCTCTACAAGACTAGCCTCTCTAGTAGGCCCTAGTGAAGAAGAACTGGGGGCACTAGTTTTTGCCCTCTTCGAAGGAGGAGGAGGGGAAGTCACCACCCTGGAGGCACATATAGACTCCACCAATGACCTATCAATGGGGGGACCTGCAGATCCAATGTAAGTTAAAAAGCCTACAACATTTTATTTTCAATAGGACTGCTAAATGAGTCAAGTACCTTTCTTCCCTAGCTTAGAGGGAGCCGTGGAGACACCAAATGTCGACATAATCTCCGAAAACTCCTTCGGATTATCACGAACCATTTGGAGAAACCACTCCTAATCTCTGGATAAAGTCAGCGGAGCTGCAAAAAGATAGTTGCATTGTGAGAACAAAAATGTGATGATAAAGACAGAAGTTAAAGGAAAAACCCTCACCTAGCTTGGTATTTGAGACTGTATCCCATCGAAAGGGCACAGGTCGTGATCGGAATCAGAAGCCCACTCGCCTCTGATGAAGAAAATTTCCTCTTCCATTTATGATGGTTGGACGTGAGCCCAGTAATGAACTTGCCCGATCTTGGGGCGAAGCGATACCATCCCCGGTGGGGAACGGGGTTCTCAAGTAGCATATATGTAGCTAGAAACTCCTCGACTGGCAGAGGGACGGTAGCACTATGTACCAACTGCCACAATGCAAAAAATGTAGAAATCACTCTTCAACCATTAGGAGCCAGTCTCCCTAGAACCAGTAACAAGCATCCGCGAACCTGACATATAGGCCCAGGAATTGGGAACCATAGACCCGCCTCCAGCATGCCCCCGTAAACGATGATCTCGCCCAAAGAGTCACGATATGCAGACTCGTCGGCCTCAGCATGACGACAAGTTATGCAGGGTGGAATACGGTATGAAAACACTATGGCAACAATATCATCATCACGGCCAAATAAGCTAAGTATAGAAGCTACCCTGGAACCGTCGCCTCCCCCAGCACTTGGACCTCCATGGGGCCCCCATCAGCCTCCCTCTCGCCTGAGTGAATACCTGCAAAAAAAGAGTTCAGACCATTACTAAAGAAAGTAAATACATCAACAGAAGAGTAAAAAGAATACTGGGAGACATACCTCAAGACCTCGTATCGTCCAAGTCACTGATCAACCACTTTCTGGACTCGCGATGGGGGGATTGCACCTCATCTGGGGTGCCTCCTGGGGAGCCTGGGGCGCCGTCTGACGCACCATGGGCACCACTTGAAGTGCCGCCCAGCCCATGATAGGCGCCTCTGGTACCTTCCACAGATCCGCTTTGCTGCTCACATGCTCTTGGGGTCCCTCCTGATGTACTAAAAAGGTTAAGTGAAGACTCCTTGTCGTACCTAGTCTTGGGCCAAGAATTTTGAAATGCCTCTCGCCTCTTGTCGGGACCTCACGAAGACCGCCTCCTGCTACAACCACGCAATGGGCGCCGCCCAAACCTACTCCACTTGATCCCGCGAGCCCAGTGTCGCCCATAGCAACCCCTTGGGCGCCCCCTCCTCTTACCTCCTCTCCGTTATGATTCTTTGAACCCCTCGTATCCATGACCTTTGATTTGGGTAGTATAGAGAGAAAACCAAAGAGGGAGAAATGGAAGTGAGAAGTGGAGAATGAGATGAAAAGTAGCCTTGGGAGTCTTTAAATAGGAAGGGATGACTTCTTGAGGAAGCCATGACAAAGCTTCTTGAGGAAGCTTGGTAAGTTAGCTTCTTGGAGAAGCTCAATGGATTAGTAGCTTCTTGGAGAAGCTTAATGAAGTAGTAGCCCTCTATTTATAGACGAAAATGCAAAAAAAAAAAAAAAGGAGAAAGGAAGGAGTCAACGCCCAGGGAAGCTAAAGGAAAAAAAAAAAAGAGAGAAGGCAAAGTTCCAGCACCTAGGAAGACCAAGAATAAAAAAAAAAAAAAAAAAAAAAAAGGGGGAGAGAGCAAGAGGTAGTGCCCAAGAAGAAAAAAGAAAAAAAAATAAAGGGGGAGATAGCAAGAGACGGCGCCCAGGAAGACCAAGAAGAAAAAAGAGAAGAAAAAAAAAGAAGAAAAAAGAATGGGAAGCAAGGTGGCACCTACGCCAAGAAAAAGAGAAGAAAAAAAGAAGAAGAAAAAAGAATGGGAAGCAAAAAGGCGGCTCACAGGCCAAGAAACAAATAGAAGAAAAAGAAAGAAAGAAAAAAAAGAAAGAGAAGCCAAAAGGGCGGCGCCCAACCAAGCCAAGAAAAAAAAAAGCAAGGGCCAATGCCTAAAAAAAAAAAATCGATATCGAAAAATTCAGTGAATCGTCGACGATGAAAAGATACCGTGGGCAGTAAGAAAAATTCCGACTCACCCAAATGGAACGAAACACATGCCCTCAACCCCTTCCTCTTGAAAAAAGTCAAAGGCTCGAGGCATGGGAGACAAATTATGAGCCCGAATTTGACTAGGCCCAATTAAAATAAACCACGAAGTCCAAGTATTGAGGACCCAAGACATAGCCCATTGGAAGCTGGGCTGATCCGTTAGGAGGGAATCCAAGAAGGCATCAAGAGGCGAACGTAAAAGGTCAATGCCCAAGAAGCGAACGTCCAATGGGCCAACGCCCAAGAGGCCAACACCTAAGCACTTGAGGCGCCGCCCCAGGTCACCTAAGCCAGGCGCCGCCCAAGGCTGCCCCCTTGTCTTTTTACGTCCTCTTGACTCCAATACAAGCCCAAGCCTACTTCGATCCAAATCCAAGGTCAAGATCGAGCCCAGTCCAGCTCAGGATCTTCCTCCGATTGAATAGGAGCACGAGGGAAAGAATGTCAGGATAGAGATCTAAAGTTACAATGATTGCACTTACCAAAATAGTGGAGGATCTCTTACTTACGTCACCGACTCACCGCCTTACCCTAAATATATAATGTATGCCCTCTCAACATTGAGGGCACGCCTCCGAGGCCTCTACACCTGCCCTTATAGACCCTCCTCTCTCCTTCTCTAAGCACTGTAATACTCTTGGAGAATACTCTCTCTAGCGACTTCACCCATTAATAAAAGACTCAGGCCACCGCTACCGTTTACGAGAGTAGAGTAGGTCACCCAGATCGAACCACTATAAATTCCTGTGTTAGCTCTTTATTTGCCATTTACCAATAATTGTCTGTTTATTATTCATTGATTGCCTCTATTCATATTCTTGACTGTTGATCTTGTACGAGACCGATTTGTGCATCATCACAAATCTTTGAATTACTTGATTTTGAAGAATATTCTTTTGGTATAGCCTGAAAATTGGTTTGTCTCTCATAACCTCAAACTTATGATATGCAAATCGATGACACATGTGCATATTTATAGGTAATATGAACTCTACTTCCCATCAAAATAAGATTTCAAGAAACTGCTTCTTCTTATTAACCAATCAGAAAACATTAATTACCTATTTAGTTTGGGATTGACAATCTTATCATTATCTTGACCCAATCAATTCACCGATAATTTGTCATCAGTAAAAATCTCATGTGTCAATGTCATGTGGGCCACGTTAAGTCTTACCATGAACGCTTTAAGAGCATCTCCAACAAGATTTTATATTTTAACTATCCAAAAATTCATTTTTTTTTAATTTTAACTACTCTCTTTTTTAAGTTGAATTTTAACTATTTTAAAATTCTAGTCATTCTCTTATGATCTGACTATATGCAACTGTCAAGAGACTGTGTATAAGAACAGCTCTAGTGTGTCAGCCATCCAGCTTCTTACAACCTACTCTATTTATGCCAGGACTAAACTTTCTATCTTCTATAGCTTCATTCACATGGTTCCATGTGTCAAAGTTTGTAGAGCAATACTTGGGTTTTTCAAGGTGAACGCTTCCTATAACACACTTGAGCCTGGTTATTATGGCTGAAAGGTCGTGTGTTTGAGATTAGATATTTAATCCTTTTTGAAGTTGTAATCTCGTGGAGCATACTAAGTATTTTAGTATCGCACAACTGAAATTTTAGTTGTCTTCTATAAATTTCCTTGAGTATTTTCTTTTATTCCCACAAATTATTGAATCCATAGATTCACCTTATCAAACTAGGCCATTTTCTAAAAGATAGAGAATCGGCAGATTTCCTTTATTCCTTTGATTATTTGAATATATTTTCTACAATGATAGGTTGCTATGGTTGGAAATATTCTAGAAAGGATTAATACTAATTTTTGTCTCTAAAATATGTATTTTTTGTTAATTTAGTTCTTATTATATCAATTTTTTTTAATTTGATTTCTAAAATATTTAATTCGTGTCACTTTAGTTCCTAATCAAATAATTCATTAAGTTTTTTGACGGAAGTGACGATGTGTTAATTTTTTAAACAGTATCACACGCCCAATACGTGATCATTCCGTCAAAAATTTAACGGTTCATCTATATAAAAACTAAAATGATTAAATACTTTAAAAACTAAATTAATAAAATTAATATAATGTATAAAAATTGCATATTTTGAATACCAAAATACTATGAACCCTCGGGGAAATTAATCATTGTGAAGACCGCAACAGCAGAACGCTTTATGGTAATGGAAATGGAAGGCAAAGAGCAGGTAAGGATTAGAGCCATCAAACTTACATTCAGCAACACCCACAGTTCGTTTCTTTGTGTTCCCGACTGTAAGGCATTTTTCAGTACAGCGAGAGACCCAGAATCGGAATCCACGGTGGTTTAGTTTTTTGGGTGGATTGATGGATTTCCAGTCTGCCTCCGCCAAACTTTCCAGTGACTTTAATGAAAGCAGGCTCACTTTGCCGTGCTTGTCAACCGTGAGGTAGTTTTGTCCACCTGAGCATTTGTCCATATAGTTGCTAAATCTGCACTCCATGAAAGGGCATCTGAGTCAGATGGTATAGATATACATATCTAAGTATATTATTAAATGCATCTTTATCACTTGTGCAAAATGGAGCCCAACCTAGACACGAGCACCCACACTATTTGGTCCATTACCATCCCCACAGTAAGGGTAGAATAGAATAGTGAAGTAATGACATAATGTTGAAAAAATTGAATGCAAATAAATAAGGGTTAATTATAAATTGTACCTTCAAAAATTGTTCGAATCTCAATTTGTACCTTTACAAATAGAAATTTATATCAATGTGCACCCTCAAAGATAAAAAATCTCAATTTGCACCTGTAAAAATAGAAATTTATATCAATGTGCACCTAAAACAAAATTGATAAATTATACCTAGATCCCCTTATATTTGTCACTTAATCATTTTGACCCCTTTCTATTCAGAATATTACTCGTACGTCTCATGATATTTGTGCACGTGTAACACGTAACCCCTTTTCATTAATATCTGTTCATATAACTGTTAAAAATATAATTTTATCCTAATAAAAAATTATAATTTCATATTATCTTTTATTTTATGGGTCCAATATACTCTAAATTTCAAAATCAAACTTACCATTTGAATGTGTAATAGAATAAAATGTTGCATATTGAGTGATATATTGCATTGGATATAAAAAATATTATATAAATATCTACATTCTATTGGATATTCAAATGGTAAGCTTGATTTTAAACTTTAGAGTATATCAGACCCACAAAATAAAGGGTAATATGAAATTATAATTTTTTATTAGGATAAAATCATATTTTGTAATGGTTATATTAACATATATCAACGAAAAGGGGCAACGTGTTACACATGCACAAACGTTATGAAATGTAAAAATAATATTCTAAATGTGAAGGGGTCCAAATGATTAAGTGACAAGCATGAGGGGTTCTATGTATAATTTATCAATTTAGTTTTAGTTGCATATTGATACAAATTTCTATTTTTTAGGGTGTAAATTGAGATTTTTTTATCTTTGGGGTGCACATTGATACAAATTTTTATCCTTGAGGGTGCAAATTGAGATTTTTTTATCTTTGAGGGTACACATTGATACAAAATTTTATTTTTGAAGGTGCAAATTGAAATTTTTAATTTTTGGGAGTCTAAATTGAGAATTGAACTATCTTTTCAGGATGTAACTTGCAATTAATCCAATAAATAAAGTGAATGGTCAAGTGAGGCGCGGACTAGGTCGTTCTCTTAAGACGAATAATGCATTTTTATGAAAGAATTATAGTGCAGAAGATAGTAACGCGTCGTCACCAGGATACAACAGCCCAACCTATTGACTGTTGTTTCACTCAGATCTGCACAATTGAATGAAACAGAAACTTCACACACACTTTTGAATATTGTCCAGAAACTTATATAGTAAAAAGATAATTGATATCAGATTGTTTATCTCTATACTGAAAATATGTGTATATATCTATATAATAAAATATGAGTGTGTTTGAATTTTATTCCAGTCATATTTTCCCCCTCAAAATCATCACCAATCATTTACCTCACCCATCATTTATTTGTCAGACGCAAACATCAAATCACATTACTCATATCTATCACATATTTAATCATTTATATATTTCATCCGTAAAAATATCACATCACTCATTTCTATCGTATATTTAATTATTTAATATTTAATTAATTTGTAGTTAATATATTTTGAAAAAAATTTAATATAGTAGGATCGATTTTTTGAACGCTCGAATTTTATATTTTATCAAAACACGAGTTATGACTAGTATACAAATAATATATGTGTTTAATAGGTTGTAATTACTTCTATATTTAATTGGCTAATAACTTAAAAAAATATGGTTGTTAGAATACAAGTCGTTGGAGGTTTTTGGTATTCAACAACTGAAACTTTAATATAGAAGTAATGACATAAAATAATTAAACATAATATTAAAAATTGGGTTTAATACTAGTTAATATTTTATTTTATTTAGGTGAACCAGGGAGACCCACTACATAGGTCGTGGACTAAGCCTAGCAAGTAATGACATAAAATAATTAAATAAAATATTAAAAAGTGAATTTAATACTAATTAATATTTTATTTCATTTAGGCAAGTCTCACCCCTACTCATGTGAGAGTTTCAAAATTTCTCTTTAATTTAAAAGTTAGATAACACTAATATATATATACTCAAGTATTTTTAAATATTTAATCGATGTGAGATTAAATTCCTACACATAAAAAATACTCTTTTAGTTATATATATACTCAAGTATTTTTGGATATTTAGTCGATAAATTGAATTCTCACGCATAAAAAGCACTATTTTAGTTAAAATATTATAACACATTAAGAACATAATTTCTATACCGAAGAGATCTGTTATAATTTCTATAACCAGAAGCTGAACCAGAAGTAGACTGCCAGCCGTAGTAAGAATTATATTTAGAGGAGGCGCCGCCTTTAATATCTGGTACCGAATAAACACCTGTCTTTTGAGTTGGCATAATCGGATTGTAAGGCAGCTGCGATGAGAGAATCATCGTGTGTAGTCATGTGGGAATAGGATTCAGTCGGAGGACATTTACTTGAGTCGCATTTAGAACACTGACTGCACAGCAAATCGCTCTTCAGATGACTATTGTCACCGGCACCATCCACAAAGGCTTCATGAGTATGACTCATTGCCAGGACCAACAGCAGACCTAGAGAGAGACAGAGACTGTATCTATCCATGTGAATTTTCCCTTTTCACTTCCCTGCACTTCTCTGTTTGACCAACCATACTGCTTGGAATAACAAGTGATTATTTTATACTCTACTCTGGTTCTTGTTTTTATCGACCATCCCCTAGGCAGTTTTTTCAATATATTACTAGTTTTATTTGGAATCTTGATGTGTTAACCAAACAAGGTGTAAATATCTGTCCGAATTTTTAGTGTTAACAAGGCAATATGGGAACCAGCTCAATTGTCATTTCGATTTGTCTGTACTGAAAGAAATAAAAAATGCTGGACTTACAGGTTACCTCTTTTTGTTCTTCTCTAGAGATTAGGTACATATATCCACCTGTTTACGCATATATAGGAATGAATAATATTATGGAGACCTAATTCATTATGTTTTTTTGATTGAACATAGAACTTATCGATCATTACAATTTTGTATTAATCCAATGATTATAATAAAACCATAGTATTTGATCAACAAATTAGATCAGATTTCTAAGTCCTAATGGATAGGAGAATCATTTTTTATAACTGCATTACACACGGAAGAATGGCTTGATTATTTTGTGAGGAAGTCGTTTTCATGAATAGCTTCATCTCCATGGACATAAAAGCTTTTACTAAGAGGCTTCTTAGATTCATGTCATGGTATATATATTTTTTTGTTCCTCCGACAAATAACAGTATGTTTTGATGCTTCAGCAGCCGTACAAATGACGGAGATAATCAGTCCAGTGTATGAGACTGTATGTTTGTAAATTGGACATGCTTGCATACTTTTGGAAATAGATGATTCTGCCGTCTGGTGATCAACTTTAAACATTTTTTGCACGAAAATTTTCATTTTACTGCCAATTGCTGGGTCTTTTGTGCTTCGTATTTCTCACATTACTATATAGTGCACTAGTGTGGGGATATTAGGTGGCATATTCCTTTAAAAAAAGTTATTTACTTAAATACAAAGCTTAGTAATTTAGGGTACCTTTTTGTCCATTTTAAATCTACTTTTAATTTAAAAATATAATTTACAAAATATTAACTTGAAAACTTTTAAATGAAGATAAAAAAAAATAAGCCTGTTGTGATCGTGCAGCAATTATGGTGAATAGTAAGGAATCAAACAATTAAGAAAGCAGAAGAAAATAACACACAGAGATTTACGTGGTTCGGCAATGTGCCTACATCCACGAGAGCGAGCGACCGTTCTTTTCCATTATTGAAGTAGGGTTACATCTTAAGTATTTATATAATCCTAATATGGACGTATTTACAAAAATACCCCTGTACCGTACCGCGGGGGCGTTGCCCCCACACCCCCAACTAATCAGCGTTCCCTTTATATAAATCCCACAAGGCAGATGCCGTCGCGGGCTCCACTCCACCCGCTTCGGCATCTGCCTCCTTACCATTATGCACACAGCAAATATAAGTCACACATACTCTAACAATCTCCACCTTGGCAAATATTCACCCCTTAGAAGAAAAAAAAAAGAAGACATGTATTCGGGAACTCCACCGGGGACGCTGAGTTGAGGCATCTCCCATCTAGCAACTAGAGACATTAATCAAGTCCAAGCAGTGCTTGAACTTGTCTGTAGTAACAGGCTTTGTCAAGATGTCTGCTGCATTCTCAGAAGTGTGAACTTTCTCAAGTAATAGTTCACCAGAAGAAACCAGTTCCCTGATCTTATGAAACCTCACATCTATATGTTTGGTCCTCACATGATACACCTGGTTGTTTGCCAAATAAATGACACTCTGACTGTCACAATGCAATTGAACTCCACCTTGCTGGGCACCCAGCTCCTTGACTAAACCTATAAGCTACAAAGCTTCTTTGGCAGCCTCAGCTACTGTCATATACTCTGACTCAGTAGTAGATAGTGCAATTATAGGCTGTACCATGGACTTCCAACAAATAGGTCCTCCCACAAGAGTAAACACATAACCTGTGGTAGACCTCCTGTCATCCAAGTCCCCTGCATAGTCTGCATCCACATATCCCATAACTGAAGGGTCACTCTGTTGTCTGCTAAACCTGATGCCATAGTCTGTAGTGCCCCTCAAGTATCTGAAAATCCACTTGACTGCATCTCAATGCTGTCGACCCGGATTTGAAAGAAACTTGCTAACCACGCTGACAGCTTGTGCCAAATCTGGTCTTGTACAAACCATAGCATACATCAAACACCCCACTGCACTAGCATATGGGACCTTTGACATGTCATGAACTTCATCATCTGTCTTCGGGCACTGAGCGGTAGACAATCTGAAATGATTCGCCAAAGGTGTACTTACTGATTTTGCATAACTCATGTTGAACCTGTCCAACACCTTCTCAACATAGCTATGCTGAGATAGCCATAATCTCCTGGAAGCTCTGTCCCTGCGAATCTCCATCCCAAGAATCTTCTTGGCCGCACCCAAATCCTTCATGTCAAATTCTCTACTCAACAAAGTCTTCAACTTGTTGACCTCACTCATACTCTTGGCAGCAATCAACATATCATCCACATAAAGTAACAGAAAAATAAATGAATCATCATCAAGCCTTTTTACATAGACACAACAATCATACTCACACCTTTTGTAGCCAATTCGGATCATGTAAGAGTCAAATCGTTTGTACCACTGCCTCGGAGACTGCTTCAGCCCATAAAGTGATTTCTTCAAATTACAGACCAAATGTTCCTCTCTAGGGAGACTGAACCCTTCTGGCTGTACCATGTAAATCTGTTCCTCCAAGTCGCCATGAAGGAAAGCTGTCTTTACATCCATCTGCTCCAACTGCATATCTGAATGTGCTACTAGTGCCAACACTGTCCTGATGGAAGTGTGTCTGACCACGGGGGAGAAGATCTCATCATAGTCAACCCCTTTTCTCTGTGAGTAACCCTTTGCTACTAGACGAGCCTTGAAATTTTCTCCCTCATTTTCTGATACTGTTTTTTTCTTCTTATACACCCATTTGCACCCTATTGCTCTCTTCCCCTCGGGAAGTTCCACCAACTCCCACGTCTGGTTCTTATGCAGAGACTCCATCTCCTCCACCATAGCACCCATCCATCTACTTTTCTCTTGCTTTGTACTGCCTCCTGAAAAGTTGTAGGATCCCCGCTACTAGTAATAAGCGCATAAGAAACCAAATCTTCAAAATCATACCTGGTAGGTGGCTTGATATTGCGTTTGGGTCTGTCTGTGGCTATACTATGATGTTGTTGATCACCTGAGATAGAACGCTCTACATGCTGAGCATCCTCTCCTCTACCATGATTCTCTAGCTCCACCTGCACCACATGGTCATTAGTGCTACAGTTTTCTGGTACTTGTTTCTCTTCTTCCTGAGTACGTTGCAACATGGCTTTTTCATCAAAAACCACATCTCTACTGATCACCATCTTGTTTGCCTTCGGATCCCAGAGCTTGAAGCCTTTCACTCCTTTCTGATATCCCAGAAAGATACACTGTCTAGACTTCGCATCAAGCTTCGACCTCTCCTCACTAGAAACATGTACATAGGCTGGACATCCAAACACTCTCAAACCAGAGTAGTCTACCTCACTGCCTGTCCACACCTCCTCTGATACTTTCCCATCTAGTGCTGCCCTTGGTGATCTGTTAATCAAGAAACATGTCATATTCACTGCCTCTGCCCAGAAATTCTTTGCAAGCCCTGCATTCAACCTGAGACACCGAGCTTTCTCGGCTATCATTCTGTTCATCCTTTCCGCTACACCATTTTGTTGTGGTGTCTTGCGGACTGTGAAGTGTCTCTTGATCCCATGTTGCTCACACAACTCCTGGAACTTTGAATCTGTGTACTCAGTACCATTATCTGACCTGAGGCATTTAATCTTCCTCCCTGTCTGGTTCTCTACTTCAGCTTTCCACAACTTGAACTTGGCAAATGCTTCTGACTTGTGCCGCATGAAGTACACCCAGACCTTTCGTGAGTAATCATCAATGAAACTCACGAAATACATGTATCCTCCCCGTGATAGTACGCTAACTGGTCCCCAAACATCTGTATGGACATAGTCGAGAACCCCCTCTGTCTTGTGTGTGGCTGTCTTGAACTGCACCCTATTCTGTTTTCCAAGAACACAATATTTGCAAAAATTGAGCTTGCATGTCTTGACACCCTTCAATAGATTTTTCTTATGAAGCTCTATCATCCCACGCTCACTCATATGACCCAGCCGCATATGCCACAAGACTGTATTATCTGATTCAGACTCTACAGCAGCAACTCCACCTACAATTGTAGTACCCAGCAGTCTGTAAATGTTTCCTACTACTTTCTGTCCCTTCATCACTGTCAGCATGGCTTTACTTACTTTCATTACTCCACTTATAGATTTGTAACTATAACCATTACAATCCAAAGTGCCCAATGAAATCAAATTCTTCCTTAGATCCGGTACATGTCTAACATCACACAACGTTCTAACCATACCATCAAACATCTTAATTCTAATATTTCCTATTCCAACAACTTTGCAAGATGCATCATTACCCATCAGAACAGAACCAGAATTTACTGACCTGTAGGTGTCAAACCAATCTTTGTTGGGTGTCATGTGATAGGAACATGCTGAATCCATAATCCAAGAATCTGTTAAACGATCTGAACTAGATAAAACAGAAAGCATATCTCCGTCACCACTCTCTGAATCTTCTTCTTCCACTACGTTTGCAGACTTTGATGCACCCTCTTTGTTCTCTGAATCCCCTTTCTTTTTCTCTGGACAGTCCCGTTTAAAGTGCCCCTTTTTTCCGCACTTGTAACACGAGACAGAGACGTCCTTCTTCTTCTTCCTCGACTTGGACCGGGCTTTATTGTTACCCGATCCATTTCGAGATTTGCTTCTTCCACGTTCCTGGTTACCTTTCACCACAAGCCCTTCACCTTGTGAAGCCTCATCACTGGCTTTCTTCCGCTGATGAAAACCTAACAGAGCACCTGTGACATCCTC